ATGGGTCAGTGACAAGAACTAGAAACTTTTAAAGGTATCCTACTGTAGTTTGAAAACTCAAGATGATATCAGCACATTAACAATACAAAGATTATATGCATGTGAGCAATAAGAAATTACTATAGCACTAATCTTATCAGTTATAGAAAATTCACATCCACAGGAACACCTTTAGAATGCACTGGAGAGCTTCAAACATGACACTCACTGTTCTAGAAAAAAAAAGAAAGAAACAAAATGACAGAGGAGAAAAAAATCCTTCCAAATAAGCCTGGAAAGAGAACATAACAGGAATCTCCAGGCAAATATCACACTAACCCACTATGTGAAATAAAATACTTTGTTGACAAAAAGAAAATGAGAGTTCTCACCTTCTTCGCTTGGTGTAAGGGGATGTAAGGTATCACCTACCTTGAATGTCCTAGAGGAAAGAGCTAACTTGAGGAACTGAAAAATACGCCTGTTGGGAATGAGCCATATGGCATAGTAAAACAATGTTTTCCAAAATGTGGTCCACGTGGAACTGAGATTATTTTTTATGAGGACATAAACAAAGTGCGTGTGTGTAGGTGTAATCTGCTATTTATGGCTAGTGATACTGATTTTCCACTTCTGGTAGCAATTTAATTTTTGGTTTTTCATATATGTATTTAATATAAAAAGTGATTCTATTTAAGAAGCAATCAGATCCTTCCACCAACACTCCATGCAGTGAGGTGACTGGCCTTCCTTAACTTTGGTGCAAGTTTGGAGGTTTATTCTTTGGTTTAATCTCTGCACTGAGAAAGACCAAGAACAGGTGATACCATATGAAAAAGAGAAGGATTGAGTGAGTGAGTGCGAGAAATACCAACTCTCCTCTCCTACTCAGCTCCCAGGCAGCCAAGCATTCATCCACTAGACAGAAAGCTGGAGAAGTTTTTTTAAAAATATGACCAGTCCGGGGCTGACCCCATGGCATAGTGGTTAGGTTTGTTGCGCTCCACTTCAGTGGCCTGGGTTCGCGGGTTTGGATCCCGAGTGCGGACCTGCACTACTCATCAACCATGCTGGGGCAGCAACCCACATACAAGGTAGAGGAGGACTGGCATGGATGTTGGCTCAGGGCTAATCTTCCTCAAGCAAAAAAAAAAAGAGGAAGACTGGCAACAGAATTTAGTTCAGGGTGAATCTTCCTTACCGAAAAAAAAAAAAAGTAAAAATATGACCAGCCCAAGAGAAAAAACAAAGATACTGAACATCAGAGGGTCCTCAGTTTTAAAAACTCCAGTCAGATAACCCTATGTTTAAGTCAACAAGACCCATTCATGCATTCAAATCAGCTTTTTATCCTCACATTTTTAAATATGGATAAACACCCAAAGATTACCAGACATCTGAGAAAAGCTCCTAAAAGAAAAGACAGAGACCAAAAAAAAAAAAAAACAAAAACAAAGTAACTTAAAAGAAACAGACTATATAAAGAGGAGAAAATTGCAACAACTTTAAAAAAATTAGTATCTTCAGAGAGAGATAAAAATATATCATAATCAGGAAATAAAAAGTGATGTTATAAAAAGGAACATACAGGGAACTTTTTAAAAGCTCTTGAAAATTTAATTTATGATAGCAGAAATGGAAGATAAAATTGAAAGTAGAACAAAAAGGTCCAAAAAGTAAAAAAGGAGAAAAAAGAGGGGAGATAATCATAAATGAAAAAATTGAAGAAAATTTTCTAGAACTGAAGAACACGAATGTCCAGATTGAAAAGGGCCTTCAAGGTTCTAGTATAATGTGTGAAAATATGCCCACATCAGGGCACATCATCATGAAATTTCAAAAAACTGGGATTTAAAACATTCTATAAACTTTCAGAGAGGAAAAAAAAATCACATAGATCACATACATAGGATCAGAAATCAGAATGTTTTAATTTTCCATAGCAACTCTGCAAACCAGAAGACAATGGAGCAACCTTTTCAAAATTCTGAAGAAAATGATTTCCAACCCAAAACTCTATACTCATCCACTACCAGGCAACTGTAAAGATAAATAAATTCCTTCTCAAACACGTAAGAGCTCAAACATTTATCATTTCTTAGGAAGTTACTGGAAGTTGTGCTAGAGCAACTGATCCAGGAAAGAGAAAGAAAACATAAGAGGAAAAGCCCCAGGATGATGGGGAAGGGAGAACCCAGGATGCGAACTGAGAAAAGGGCATCTAATCCAGTCTGGAGCAAGTCAGAATGCTCTGAGAGACTTATTTTATTTTTATTTTTTTCTGGTGAGAAAGACTGGCTCTGAGCTAACACCTGTTGCCAATTTTCCTCTTTTTGCTGAGGAAGATCAGCCCTGAGCTAAGGTCTGTGCCCATCTTCCTCTATTTTGTATGTGGGATGCCACCACAGCACGGCTTGATCAGCAGTGTGTCAGTCCGCACCTGGGATTTGAACCTGCAAACCCCGGACCACCAAAGTGGAGCATTCGAACTTAACTGCTACAGCACCAAGCCGGCCCCTGAGAGACTTCTTAAGAAGAAATACGATCATTAAATCCAGGGAAAGTAAAGGAGTTTCACAGGAAAGAAAAGTAATTACAGCTCACTACATAGCTAGATTTGAATAGCATTTATATATATCATGGGAATGTAAGCATAGAATAATGATCTACCAAAATTTAAACATAACTATTAGGTTGAAATATATGAAATTTCTTTTTTTTTTTTTTTTTTGAGGAAGATTAGCCATGAGCTAACATCTGTTGCCAATCTTCCTCTTTTCTGCTGAGGAAGATTGGCCCTGGGCTAACATCCATGGCCATCCTCCTCTACTTTATATGGGATGCTGCCACAGCATGGCTTGATAAGCAGTGCATAGGTCCATGTCCAGGATCCGAACCTGCGAACCCTGGGCCGCTGAAGCAGAGTGCATGAACTTAACTGCTATGCCACTGCGCCAGCCCCTGAAATTTTTATTTTTATAGATCAAAAACTGCATATAGTTCAACCTAGTACATCAGGAGCATGAGGGATGAGAAGGATGAGTGTGTGTGTACGGTAAGGACCAGAAAGAAGACTGTCATGAGACAATGTTCAAAACTAAAAAATCAAGAAACAGTAAAACAAGTACTGTTTTCGAACACATGGAGGTAAATATCAAAATAATAGGTAAATAGAGGTAAAAGTAGTTGCCTCTAAGGAGGGGTTTATGTGAGTAGAGGCAGATTGAGGACTGCTTTTTTTCTTTGTAATAACAAACTTGCTGAATTATTTGACTCTTTACACTATTATATACACCACATAAGACCAGTAGTAAACATCTGACCATATATAAATTCAATAAAAAGAAAAAGTTTTAAAAATAGAAAGGAAAAGAAAAGAGAAGGAAGGAAGAGAGGAAGGGAAGGAGGGAGGGAGGAAGGGAGGGAAAGAAAGGAAAGGAGAGAGGGAGTAAGGAAAAATAGGGCCCAAGAGGGAGGGCCAGATACATACTAGAGACATTTCAACGTCTCCAGAGAGCACTCTGTGGAGACAGGAACATGATCTCCACCACACTAGTGTGAGAGACAGGTACTCTCAAGGCCATTCTTCTTCCATAAATGAGACAAAAACCAAACCAGAGTGAGTTTAACTGTTCAACATTTCCTTAATATTGATAGACTGTTGAGTTATTTTTTTTTAATTATAGATAACACTGTTCCAATTGTTCTCTACTTGCTCTTCTGATAATATGCCATAAGCTCTCCTTTTCCGAATTATGTTCAGAGTCTTGAAATTGGTGATGACATCAATAATAGCAGAGGCTTTTAAAACACCATTTGGGGGAGACTTAATTTTTAATGGCAAAAAAAAGAGAAAGAAAGATAAGAAGGAAACATATGAAACTGTTGTTTTTGTAGAACACAACTGAGTACAGTTCAACCTAATAAACTGGAAGTGTGAGGGATGCGCAGGGTGAGAGTGTGTGTGTGTTAGAGACCAGAAAGAGGAGTGTGCTAAGATGAAAAAAAAAATTTTTTTTTAAATTACTTCAGATGTCTTTACTTACCCCGAGAGTAAAATATCCTTCGTGATTCTAGCACTCTCCTTGCCTATCCCACTTCTATCTCCTGAAAAGAATATAACCTTGAGTCCCTCTGTCTACCATTTAGACAAAAAGATATCCCTCTCCTTACCAACTTATTTACAATTGTAAGAGCAATATTTGCTAAAGATTCTCCTTGACACTAAGAAATTGGAGGCAAATCTCAAGTTTCATGATAATGCTTTATGACATAATTTTTCTCACTTATTTCTTGCCACTCTTGAGGAGAAACGACAGACCAATGTGTTCACAGTCCATATGCAGAACTATTAACTGGCATGAACAGCAGTATTTTGTCAGTATCTTTCCAAAGCAAGCCAAGTGTCCCGAGTATGAATAAGCCTTGTAGTAAACATGTGATGATGAATTCAGTCTCGATTTTTTAAATGGGATGAGTCAGATCTCCAGACCTTTAAGATAAATACTCTCTAATGAAAATTAAATTATCATCACCATAATGCCCAGGCACTTTTGAAAACATCACAAAGGCAAAATCCCTGCCCATAAGGTACCTGCATCCTCTCCTTTATTAAGTACTACTGTGAACCAATTATATAAAAATATGATTGCTGACATTTCAATATGAAAGAAATAGGAAGTTGTGATTAAGACTAGGGAGGGGAGAAGAGAAGGGGAAAACCTACCTATGGCGGTCAAGTCAGAAACAAATGCTCTCTGTAGGAGTTGGGAGGTTCCTTCAGAATAGGGATTAGAGTTTGAATATTTATCTTTGTATCCCCACAGCTTAGCACAGAAAGAACCTGGCACGTCCAGAAATGGTCAAGAAACATTTGCTGAATTAACCTAAGCACTGAACTAAGCATATCTTAGCATCCATTGGGCCAAAAAGTATAATCCAATCATCTTTAGACACAGCTATGTTGAGGAGCCAGCACAATGAAAGCCATAGCATCTTCTCTGAGAACAGCACCTCCTTACCTGTTGTTGTACTGGTACTTGCTGTACCACCTGTGTAGGCACTGCTGCTTGACTAGCCACAGATGTCTGTAAAGTCACTGTCGAACCTGTGTCCGACCCGGTCTCTGATGTCTGCATGATGGTCTCTGAAATATATTAAAATAGAAATAAAGTTTTAAATGTTGTCCTTGCCTGACTAGCTACATTACATCTGTTCTTAATATCTTATACTGAGACTAACTTGCAACTCTCAGGATACCTCTTCCTCCAACTGTCATGATATTCCATACATGTTTATAGTCATTATGACCACTTTTTAAATATATACAGAAAAGGACCAATCCATATACATATTTTTAAATCCCCATTAGTACCTTTTATCTTGAGGCTATAAAGGTTGAATTTCATTGAAATCTACCTTCCTTAGGTCTCATCTGTTATAAATTGTTTTAAACACATTATAAACTAGTTCAAAATTATGTCAAGATACTCAATTCTCAGAACACAACCCCTAACTGGATATGTCATAAACAGTACTTTCTAGACATGTTGATAGACTACTAGGATGTCACCAGAGGTGTACAATTTAGAATAAATTATTTCTAAGGTCCTTTCCAACTTTCAAACTTACTATTCAGTGATCTAAAAAAATTAACATATATCCAAAACCCAACTGATATATCCTAAACTTAGCCAAAGGATTAAGCTCAATAATTTTCTCTGCCTGTATTATGATATGGTACTCAAATCAAAGTTCAATTATATTCTTACACAAAGATAGTGAAACATCCATAATTTTTACTATTTTGAAGGACGGAGAGGACCACTATTATACAAATGAGATTTATAAACACAGACATGAAATTTTACTTTAATTCACAATTCAACATGGCACACTTTTCGGTTCTTATATGCCTACTGCTAACACAGGATTAAAATTTGTAGCATGTACTCAAACAAGTGTGGTTTCTCAGACCTCCTGGCCTTGGCATTCCCTTTTGCTACTTATATAGTCAATAGAATAAATATTAATTTCTTTGCTATTGAGCAGGGACCAGAAATCTGATTTTCTTTCTGGGGGAGGGGACAATATATAATTGGTAGCCTAAGAAAAATACTGCATTATGGTTTAAATCTGTGAACAATATGATTGACATTAATTTTCCCTAAGAAAATTCTGAAAGAATATTCAGTTCGTTCAAGCAGAAAATTAACCCCTCTCAGCATCTTTTGTCACAGCACGACCTCTTCCAACTTTTTCCCCCAAACCTTTTCTATCATCTCATTCAGTTTTAGAAATGGACCTCTTAAGACATCTAATCTACTCTTCTTATTTTATAAACGAGGAAACTAAAGCCCAGAGACATTAAGAGACTAGCTCAAGGTGACAGGAGTAGACATGGGGCTGGGCTTTTTCACTTTGAATCTGTGCTTATTTTAATTTCCAGACCTTGACAGTGGCATTACTTAAGGTGATTATTACTCTTTTGTTAGTCAAAACCTTAAAGCAACACAATAAACCTTAGCACATACAAAAGATATAGCGGTAACAGCTAGCACTGATTGAGCGTTTAACATATGCTAAAGACCCTTCTAAATGCTTTACACGTTAATTCATAAATAAACTAATCCACGTAACAACCCAACATGGTTGGTATGATTATAATCTCCATTTACAGATGAGGAACCTCAGGCACACAGAGTGAAGGTGGCTAGGGGCTTAAAAAACAGAAGGAAAGTGATGGAGACTATGGCTAACTCCCCATTTATTTGGGTCAGCTAACGTTCAGCCTGAGAAAATTGTGAATTTGTGGGAAGGCTAAGCTGTAGCTCCCATTTCTTCCAATTTTCCAAAAGAAGCTGAAAATCTTGACTGTTACATGAAATCTCCCAAATGGTGGCTCATTTTTTTCTTTAAATGTAGCACTGATCTCCAAACACATACACCTTTGGACTAGCATTAAGACCATAGATATGCCTGAAAATGTTTGAGAATGACAGTATTGACTCCATAAAACTCTTGCCTAATTATGATTACTGGAGGACCAATGGTTCTCAACATTTGGGGAAGGGATACACACATTAGGAACCCTATCTATAGGGCCTCTTCCTTTTCATTCCTTCATAGAGGTAAAAAAAAAAAAAAAAAAAACCCTCACAAAAAATAAAGCAAAACCAGTGTCCTTTGAATCATTACATACTTATAGACTGTCGATGCCATTTGTGCTACAACAGAGGAGCTATTAGTGAGAGTAAGGTGATGCCTTTCTGCAGGGAGTGAGGAGTGAACCACATGTTAGATATCATTTTCAGTGACGTTTTCTCAGCCTCTCTTCCTAACTCCAAGATAAGTGGTGGCCTTTATCAGTTTAGAATACGGATGAGGAAGACAGGTTGCCAATTATGGCTTCTTGTTTAAGCTGCTCAACCAAAGGTGAGTGATTTTCTTACAGTGAAGTTACTTGCACTAAAACTCCCTTTTCTTTCTCCCAGTGCTGGCTGGGAACCTTATTGAGGCTCTCTCTGTGCCCATCCATTGTATTGCACCAGACCAGTCTACACACCCCTTTTTGGTTTATGACCCATACTTTGACATCCACTGTTTTAGACCAAAAATACTCAAGAATATAAAGAATGAAGGTCTCTTTAAAAAGTAAATGTATTTTTAAAGCAATTCCTAACAACTCTCAATAAACCATCTGAGAGACCTTATCAGAAGATAAACAATATAGACTTGGAAATTGGCCTCCTATGGACTCCAGAGACAGGTTTTGGTTCAGAGTGACTACAAATTAAAATTCTTAATTGCCAACATTTAAAAATCAGAAAACTTTGTGTTAAAACCCAAATTTTCAGATTCTCTTGAAAAATCTGAAAATTTAGAAAAGGTGAGCCCATATTATGTCTTTTATAGGCAAATTATTTAAATGGTGATACTCACTCACTTGCCTGGCCTCTATAGGCATTGGAGTTCATGACACCTTTTGGAGTAACCAGAAACTTAGTCCTACAAACCCAGATTGAAAATGGAAAATTACATTTTGGGTATTGATAACATTTGAATATTGGCTATGGATAACATTTATACTGATTCACTTTTTATACAGAAGAGAAATACCCAAGCTTTGACCAGTTTACTAATAGAAATGTATAACTAGATGATTGGAACTATGATTTTCCTCATTTACAGATGAGTCGACTGAAGCCCAGAGATGTCTAGTCATTTAACCAAAGTCAAACATGTCTGGAAAAACACTAAAGCTTATGCACTAAACGAGTAGACCATGTTAGAAGTCCTGAGTTTTATAACAGACGTCGTACAGATAGAAGTGAAGAGAGTAATGAAAAGCAAACTGGTGAACTTTTAGAATGAGAAGGAAGGAAAAAGATAACTATTTAACAGGAACAATTTTTACAGAATAGAGTGGGGAAAATAAGATGGAGAGAAAACGATGGCTTATGTAACTTAGAGAGCCATGGGAGAACTTTCCATCCAGCCTCTGGATCTTTGTACATACTACAGCAAAACTGGCACATAAAGCCCAATCCAGGATAACCAATAATTGTCCCAGAACATCTTCTGTTTACTCTCAAGTTACTCTCAAGAGCATCCAGTCTCCTTGGCTCCTGGATTACAGGGTCATGCCAATTGATAAGAACTTAGTCTCTCAGTTTTGTCTCCATTTTTTTTAAGGAAGGCCAGCCCTGAGCTAACATCTGTTCAATCTTCCTCCTCTTTTCCTTTTTTCTCCCCAAAGCCCCAGTAGATAGTTGTATGTCATAGTTGTACATCATTCTAGTCGCTCTCTGTGGGACGCTGCCCCAGCATGGCTTGATGAGCGGTGAGTATGTCCGTGTCCAGGACCTGAACCAGCGAACCCTGGGCCACCAAAGCAGAGGGTGCGAACTTAATCTCTACACCACCTGGCCAGCCCCTTATCTCCATTTTTCCTTAATAGGCACAACTTCATTCTCCTCTGATTTCATTGTCTTCCTCGACTTTGAGGAAAGGGCTCTCTTTGCCAAGACCTCATGCCTTGAGAGGGTCTCAATCACATCCCTTCCAGAGATTGGCTCAAAAAGTCATAACCATAATCAGGTTCCTCATTTAATAAGTCTTTTCCAGGTACCAAAAAATATGCTAAGTGCTTGAAATACATCTTCTCATTTAATCCTCAGTAGACCCCCTTAATGGAAGTGTTATTATTCCACTTCACAGATGAGGTAACTGAGGCACAAGTGGATTAAATAACTTGCTAAAAGCCTTACATAGTAAGGAGAAGAGCCTGAATTCAAATTTAGGTTTGTCTGACTCTAAAGCCCACTATGTCACCACTTCTACTGCTTTGCAATATCATGACCATAGGGCTTCCAAATGAAAAGCTAGAGACCATTGGTCTGGAGAGCAAAATCTTTGGGATTCTCAATCTATCACATTTGATCTACACTTCCAATAACAATGGACAGACATCCCTTCTCTCTCTGACATCGAAATTAGGAAGTATTCTCTCTCTACTACTGAGGCCATAATAAAAACCAACTAATAAGTATTTTTCCAAAGGCATTTTAACTGATTAATTCTGAAGACCTAATTTAATAGCAGATCAATTAGAATGTTAAAGCATGTTTGAGGAGTACAACCCTCCTGCCAAATTTTGCGAAACAGATCATTTAAACACACTAACACATTCAGAGTATTCTGGTAGCTTTCCAACATTTCTGCAAAGCAAGGATCATCACATGAGGGTAGTACCTTAGCATGCTTCCTTTGTAGGTTTTGTTTTAGACCCAACATAAAGGTCTATGTGTACATTTGAGGAGTTCCCATTCATCTAGCAGTGGTTTCTGGTGCTTTGTTTATGTTTGGGAGTAATTTGGTTAGTTGAGTTCCTTCACAGCCTCCTTTCAAGTGATATTTGTTTATCAGCCACAAATGCAGTCACATTAATCCATTTTGATAAACTAAATAAACCCCTGCAGTTTGTCGGTGACGCAACCCATATGTAAATGAGTTGTATATTCTTGCAGGAGAGACATGCACAATTTCAGTCTAGTCATCCTTGCCTAATGTGGCTGTCAGGTGTGTCAAGAGCAACAGATGCTTGTTTGACAAAGGACCTTTTTATTCTGGCTAATTAAGCAGTTG